TAAATTTTTTGACTAGCATCACTAAGTCTTACTTATAATAATTATGTACTAATGTATTTAATTATTTGTACAACTTTCTTAAATCATAGAATTTACAAATTATACTAATTTTATATATGTGCCAATAGGAATACAATTAAAATTTAAGTACTCAATGTATAATAAATAATTATTTTTTTTAAGCACTTGATGGTTGATTATATTCTTTTTAAAATACAAATACAACTTTATTGTTTTTTGTATGAAATACAAACGTAAACTACTAGTAAATCTTTTAAAATCTATATATCTAAATATACACATTAAAAGATTTTATTTTTGTTTTCAAAAATACTTTTCTTATTATGATTATATTAACTAATTTTAAACCTAGTCTATAAAATATTATAGTATGGTCAAATTTGAAATGTTTTTTCAAATTTAGAAAAAAAAAATCTTAATTTTATAATTTTTTGGTTAAGAAATAATGTAATAAATTATTATAATGATGCTAGTTATAATTTATAAATTTAACTAAAAATGTATTACATTTATTATGTAACTATACGAAAGCTGAATTATATTTTTTTCAACTAAGTAAATTTCCGAGTAAATTTCTTTAGCAATTAAAATAGTAGGTTTAAAAAACACACCACAAATTATTTAGATAGTTTATTCTACATCAAATTTTATATTAAAGTATTTTATAACTGAATTATATTTATACTGAACAAATTATTTTGAATATAAAAATCTGGCAAATATATTTATCTAGTCATATTAATAAAGACAGAAATTTATACTTTATACGACATTCGAACTTTGAACACAGACTGAGTTATAGCGGTTATTCACCTTAGGCTACTGACTACAATATGAAAAACCAAATTGAGCTATTTTTCAACCATACATATTACATAGATATTAATAATTTATTATATTGCAGTGTACTAATGACATTAAAATAAAAGCTTCAAGCGTATGAGAAATAAGAAACATGCGTAAACTATCATACGAGACATATGTATTATGACTAGCAAACACGAAATTGCGAAAAATGATTTTTTTTCTTTTTTATTTAAAATATAAACAAACATCGGCAACCGACAACAATTTAAGACATTGGGTTAATGTATCTTCATTCAATGGATAACAGTCTCGTTTTATTCGCATAAACTTAAAGTAGCTACGTAGCTAAAGTAGCTAAGTCGATTGTCCGTAATAGTTAACAAATATAATATCTACTGTCACCTCAACACCACTCTCCAAATGATACCATCGTCTTTATTATTATTAACATTAACATTATTATTACATATAGTAAACATAATACATTCACGTTGATCATTTTGGGCCTATATAGTAGGTTAGATACATATAGGTACATTGATTGCACAGCGAGTGAAAAGAGTGAGAAGGGAGAGCATGCATAAACACTAGTGTATATACGTATATGATACATTGTATACATAATATTATATTGGCGCCATGTCTACAGGAAAGATAAAAAAAACAACTACAGTTGCGCAATTGCCTACGGGCAATTTAATAACGCTTTTGCTCTTCGCAACAAACGCATATAATATGGTAATTGCCCTAGGATTATATACCAACAAAAAACACCGCTAGGCTATCAAGGGTGAAATCCAAGTGAAATCCAATGAAATATGGTAGGGAACAGTAATAATTTTTTCAACCACCTGAATTCACAATTATAAAAAAATGCATTTACCCCGTGTTATCGGTAGCACACGACCGATAACAAACCATATTATGTAAGGACAATACTGTTTGGTACCAAATAAAGTAGTCACTATTTCGATGGATATTAAAATTTAATTGCAGTGTCCTAATATAAGCTAGTTACAATCAATGATCACAACATTAATAGCTAACGAAAAATGAATAATGAAAAACTGATATAAATATAATTCTTGACAAGTTCATACATACATAAATATAATTCACAAAAAATATTATCAAATCAAGTATATGTGCAATTTTCAACCCAATTCTAAATAACTAAATTATATGCAGAATTCTTTTATAATATAGATACAATAATATCTACGTTATTATTGATAATAATATCAAGAATATGTTCCTACAGCTAATAATACAGATTCGTCGTTTTAAAAATGTTCTACTTGCTTGCAGTTTATTTATAAATATTAAAACTTTAAATATTTTAACAAATTATGTGTAAATAAAAATGTGTTTAATATAATATCACAATAATATTTTTACGAATAACTATTTAAAAATCTAGGTACAGCCTAAACTTATTTACAAATACATTCCACTAATAAAAGTATTATAGGTATTTACGATTTTCGATGGATGTTAAATCCATTCAAATATCCTACCTCGGGCTTATTATAATATACCAATTACCTAAAGCTTATTTCAATATTGAATTTCGTAAACCTAACAACTAAAAATCACAAGTTTGAACACTCTTAATTTATTTAGAGAAAAAAGCTTGTAGTTAAAATTCATGATAATTTATAATTAAATAATAAAATTAAAAACACAAGTGTACCTACATTAATTTTCTGCATTAATACATACCATGTATTACGTTAGTTTATTATTTAAAGAAAATTATCACTTCATAACGTAATTAAAACAAAATAAATGAATAAGCAATAAATAAAAATTATATGTTTTATACTTACATAAATAAAAACATTTAAAATTTAAAATATGAAGGTATATCTAGAACGAATGATTTTTATTTATAGTTGCTACTATAGTAATTAAAATTACTTAGAACAATACAATTAAAGTTTATTTGAATACCCAAATTAAAAACACTTAATTAAAAACAATATACTAATAAAGTAAATATATATTATTGTTCCATTTAAATAGAACTTTGATATGAGACTTATAAGTGAAATTTTATGAAATTTACAAAAAGAAATAATGTTTTACTAGAATCTAGTTTTAAATATTATAATTTAAACCATCAAAAAGATTATTGATTTACAAACTGCACACTAACTCTTATCTAGGTATTATTCATTTATACTTAAGATTGAAACAAAAACCAATTATTAAATCGTTTTACACATTCAACAAATTAGGCCTTGGATTTAAAAAAAATATTGGAACATGTCCATATATTTAAATAATATAATAAAATATATATTTTTTCGTTTGAACTATAATAATTTTAATTTGTTTGAAATATTTATCAAAGGTTTGTTTTTTTAGTAAGAACTGTATGATGAACATATAAAATAATCGAAATAAACAACAGTTCGGGTGCAATCCCAAATTTAAATGAAGGTCTCCACGGTCAGTTCATTTCATAGACAGGTAGAACCTTGACTTCAAATACACTAAAATTTATATTTTTAGTTTAGAAATACATGACACATAGGGACAATTTTATTTCTTTATTTCTTTTTTATTAATATTTAATGGTAATATATACTTACCGAAGTATATTTTCTTCGTATAAATAAATTAAAACAACATGATCAAGCAAGTTAATAGTAATCGAAAATACTGAGTAAAAAAAAAAAAAAATAGGTACCTAAGTAAATAAATTTATTCTTTATAAATTATAGATTAGGTATTAACGCACAACGGAACATTTTTTGTTCTAAAAATATCAAGATAATCAACATAAAACAATTTTTCTACTGCCTTATCGATACATAATTTATTTTTGCTAATTTATACTTCTACAATCTATAATACGCGTGCATAGAATATCTTATAATTTTAAAATTTTTAACGAGTTTCATATCTAAATGACGTATGAAGATAGTAATAGAATTAAATCATACAAACTGGACTACATATATATTATGTAGGTGTAGTTGAAACTATTATACACATTGAGTCCTAAAAATATTGTAGCTACAAGTTTAACGATAATTTGGTAAAATAAAAATAACTCTGTTATAATATTGCTATTAAACATTATAATTATTCATAATATTATACTTGGATATTTGGATGATAATAATTATAAAGGTCTTCGAAGGTTATAAAATCGCCCTACAAACCATGTTGCACGATCGATTTGACGTTATTAATAATTCATTAAAAACCAAACATAAATCGGAACAATGACTAGTTATTTTTCACTTAGTATATTATATTGTCGTTGTAGACAATATTTTAAACGTGTCCTGTGATGCGTGCAGCGGTGTCTCGCATAGTGTTATATTATTATGGTCGTTTACATGTGTTGAAACAAAAAGAGAAGTGTATAGCTGGTAGGTTGGTCTATGATATACAACGCTGTACGGCGTACACTTGCACCGGTACAGTTTTTCATACAAATCGCGTTTCCCAATTAAATCAACCTTACAAAATAATTATTGCGTCTTTCGCAGAACGTTTTTCGAAACATATAGGTAATAAGAACTGCAATCGAACATAAAACCAGTTTCAAAAAATCACGTCGCCAACAGAAGTTTTTAACTTACTCTGTCAAGCGACCTGAAAACACGTTAAAGTCTTGTTTCCTATACCTAATACAATATTAAAACCAACAAAATTATATTTCCTGTTTTTTAACGATGAATTGATAACAAAACCCGCCAAAACGCAACACGAGATTTATATCCAGTGACAAAATATATCGTATGAATGAAAATCGTACGTAATAGACTGTAAGGTAAAAATTTATTTTGGGGACAATGGACATTAATAATCACATTAATAATATTATCGTACATACTATTTATATGAAATACAATTTTCTTAACAAGACTTTATCTCCTACATATTGAGGAAAAAGTCACCGGCTGTTGAATTAGAAAAAGTTTAACTTGTGGTTTTCAAAAATATAATATATTCCGATTATTTATTAAAATATTAATAACAGCAATAGAGATTAGCCTACATACAATAATAATACTGTTATGTAACAACATGATACGACGTACCTATCATATTATATATTATATTATACTTTAGCTTTTATTTAATAATATTTTAATACACCCTGTATTAGTATAATGGCAGAAGCGATATTATGTAATACGAATAAAACTCACGTTTCTTCGACGGGGTTTATAGCTCGTCCCGCGCACCGAGTGCAGTTGTGGTATTTATCCAAAACGTCGACGGATAAGTGCACCGAACGGGTAATGGAAACAACAGCAACACGAATGGACGTAGGTAAATAATGATCGCTACGGACAGTCAATAATATTATTTCGCACTGCCGACCGACCGCCGAATCATCGGAGGGATAGAAAATTGATAAAAACCGGTTAAACTTTTTGGCAACGGGTAAATTCAAAATATTGAAGTTCTATAAAATTATTATCGAATTGAGTTGTCTATACGCGAGCAACGTTTGGAAAACTGTACACAACGACGGGCACGTTTAAAATTCGAATCTATAACCCGCGAGGGCACGCGACCAAAAAGACTAAATAAACGATACACTGAACGCGAAAAATTCTCTCGGTCAACAAGCCCTGTGAGAAGGACAAAATATTCTAATTATTATTTATTATAATATTATATCACACAATAAACAATATATGGGCAGTGCGTGCGTGCGCGCGCGTGTTCGAACCAGCCGGTCGCGATACGTATCGGTGTGCGCACTGACTGTCGTCTGAGTGCGTGTGTGCGTTGGCCGGCGAGCGAACGTTTTGGCCGGAAGGTCAGCTGATTAGAAAGAAAGTACCTGCCGCCGCAGTGGTGGGAGTCACGCGACGTCGATCGCGTATCGCGCAGTGCACGTACATTATTATATTATATATATTTTATTATTATTGTACCTATCATTTAGTGAAATGTTATTATTGTTGAACCTATTATTTGTCTTGTTATTATGTTATTGGGTATTAGAGCTTCACCTTCCTCTCCGGCGGTTTTGTACGCGTTTGGTTATTTTTTTCCGGTCCATCAACGATGTACCCGGTGCCAAGTGAGCACGTTGTTCGTTTGACGTTAAAACCGTCAAACAAATTCAAGATACGAATAGTTCAATAATGAATTTAAAATTCGCGGTATTCCATTTTAGCGAAGTCATTGTGCGGCTCGCATGGATAACAATACGCACACAATATAGTATTAGTTAAAGTAACCGTGGTATATACAGAACCTCCCCTAAATGGCTATACGTGAGTATTTATACACAATCTTTGAATGGAAACCGTGGTTATGAGCAAAATACAAATTCGTTGATTAAGTGGTAACTTGCCGTTTTTATTTATTATCCCGCCAAATTCACACCTTACCGGCCAACCCGATCATATTTTTTATTTATCATTACACTTCATAATACCTACAGCTCTAACCGTTGCAGATCTAATATACGTTTTAAAATTATTTAGCCCATCTATCAAAAATCAACGGAAACATAGCGTGCTACTTGATATTTTTACTGCTACACGGAAAAACATCGAGTCATAGATAATATACTTTTGCGGGACTTGGTAATATACATATTAACAATTCAATATTTTTCCGCGCAACGAAGAAAATATCAAGTAACACGCTTGTGGAAACTTATAGTAGTTTGCTATACTTTATTTTCGTCGATGTGTGAATCATTAAATTGTCCATGTATCGAAACTCGAAAGTATAATTCATTTTTTAATGGGAAGAAATACAAATTAGTTACAAATAAAATTTATCATAAATATTTGAAATAATAATTTCATTACTAGTTAAATTTACTAGGTGTTTATCGTCATGATAAATCTACTTAGAAAATTAGTAGGTATCATTAACAATATAAGCAATATTCTGATGCGTAATAAATTATTGTAAACATATATATAAAAATTAATAGTATCCTGATACTTAATATTATGCAATCAATATTGTAAGTTTGCTTATAATAAAATAACTGATAACTAATAAACGATAAGATTCATACAATAAATCTAAATTTAATGTTTATTAATTTAGTGTATTAATGTACTATGTTTAATTTATTATAGTAATAGTTTATTCATAATACCTTTGATAGGATAATAATGAAATTATGTAATAGGTACTAATATACTTTATATCAAACTATAAAATATAAAATAATAATTAAATATTAAGAAAAATAATACTATCCTGTGATATCTAATATATATAGGTGACTGATGTGCATCCTAATATTCTTACTTTGACACGACGTCTACCGTTAATGTTCAAGAAACAATAGTAATGAAGGCTCACAAATATTTGACTCAATCGTTATATTGCACCCGACTATATAATACTCACAGATGGCTTTAGAAAACAATGCAATCTAGAAATGTTTCTGAAACCAAAGGGCGTGACAGACATAAGAAAATGGTCAATTGCGATGATCTTAGTTTTCCTAAAAAGTAAGATTGACTATTGACTTGGAGGAGAATATCGCGTACGTAGAGAATAACAGTCACCGGAGTTGTTATATTTGGTAAGGCAAACAACGGTTTGCACGAGTAACCACAAAAGTCACGATAAAAAAAATTTTCATAGATGGCAAAAACAGTTAGTTACAAGATTAAAATTCGCAGCTGCAATGTCGTCGCATTACCCTGATACAATATATTGTGCATGGTATATATAGGTACCTACAACCTACTCCTTTATTTTAGACGCACTCGCCAACAAAGACGCAAAAATGGTTTGTTTGGTTGTAAGATGGCGAATACCCTCTAAATAGTACCTGTCAATTGTCATGATGTGATGGTGTTTGCATATAGGTTTAGTTTAGGCTGGTACCAAATTGGTTATCTAGACCTTACCCCATGGCGAATCGGTTCCCGTTTAAAAAAGGTATTTTATTAAGATGAGCTGAATTGGTTTCCGTTTTTGTTCAGATAAAGTACTTCAAATTTTAATTCTAATAACAATAAAAAATATTAATTGAGCTAAAAAATTTTGTGAACCATTCCATTCAAAACTAAGAATTTATCTGCGCCCACCCTAATATATTTTATTTTATGAAAACTTTAAACAGTATTTAAACATCAAATTATAATCAATTTTACAATAGTAATACAAACAAAATTACCAATAAACAATAAAGAAGCAATCAATACTTTGAAAACTAAATGACTGACTACATTAATGAGAATCTTATACACAATTAAAATATTTAAAAAAAAGTTTGCTTTAAATTTGTAAGGTTCAACTAAAATTAACCTATTAGCTCAACAATTTTAAATTTTCAATTATTATACTTTATTATTTTTTTTTATATATCTAAGTGATGACTTAGGTATAACTGTGGTTTACTTCTACTTCAACGTTCGCTAATGTACATTTTTAATCATGCCTACTTTGAAGTTGGCATTCCTAAGCCTGTAAAACTGAAAGGGAAATAGCTTGATTAAAAATCGAGAAACAATTCGACTAGTAATGAGGTCATCATCAATTTAAATGGTAACCAATTCCGTTTACCTTAATAAAATACTTTTTTTTCAAACAAAAATCAATTCAACCAAATGAGCAGCAATTCGGCTACTCCCCCCCTAGTTTATACAGCAGTAGTTTCGGATGAGTTTAAAACTTCACCGTATTTTGAGATCAACGGTCACGGTTATGTTAAATTTACGAAAGTTATATTACATATTACAGCGGTAACTATCATTGTATCAGTATTTATAATTATTTAATAGTACTTTATTATTATTATGAATCATAATTTTCATATTAATTTTCTTTAGAATATAATACTATAATATATATATTTTTTAATAATATGTATATTGTATAGTTACCGGAGACACTATGACAATAAATATCATATTATTTCTTAGTTAGAGGTAAGGGTAACCCATTCGCGAGTACTACAGACTATAGTAGCTATTAGTTATATAATAATATACATAATACAGATCGTCGACCGTCGGGTACTGCCAAGATTATATTTAGGGCTACGCATCAAAGTAAGACGCACATTAGTTACCAGCATTAGAACATTATTCACTGGAGAATATTACACCTTGAAGGGGATAATAAACTTTAATGAGTATAGGCTTTGTGCGTAAAAAAATCCATATATCCTGCATCAAATTGTTAATTGCACTATCGGCTATATATTTGAGTGACACGGACCAGTGGTATGGTAGGTATGGTGCAGCTGGTAAAGTAATTTCCCGCCAACAGTGATACCGCAACGATTACGATGAAAAAATATCGCAATAAACATTTAATAGTCTCGAAGTTAAGACAAATATACTTTTTTCTGGCAATAACGTCAAAATGAACATATAAAATTATAAATATAATGTTATCGTACTACAAACTCTGAACTAACGACAATAAACATCGATCGTATTGTATTATTTTATATATTATAGTATATGCCCCTGTAACATATGCATTATAAAAGGTAGGTATATTAGTATAACGACTAAAGATAATGACAAATATTTTAATAGAGATCGAATTTGGTTTTTATCAATTGTGAAATGATGAATCATCGTCAACTGATTGACTCACAATGCCCATTGTTTTTTTTTATTTTGTACTTCGAACGAAATCGAACGTGTTTAAGGAAACAAAATAAGATCGAGATTTTTTTTTTCAAAAAACCATGTCTTGCAATTTAATAATTTTATTTTTATCATTGAAACGATACAAATACCTGTAGTCGTTAAAAAAACGTATTTCAAACAAAATACTAACGAAATAAATGGTGCCAATTGTTTCGTTACATTTAAATAAATACAAAAAAATAGAATGAAAAGAATAATAAAAAAATTACAATATATACTATTACTTTTCTCAGTATTTCCAAATAAATTGATAAAACACTTGAAAAGGCCTTATCGACGGTCGTTCAAATTAGTAATAATTACTTTATAATTTTTAATTAGATAAACAAATTAGGCATTTAAATATTTCACTTGATGTCTTAGGTTAATTTAGTTTGTTAAGCACTCTATGTTTTTCTTCAAAAATCTTGTAATATATATGAATCATGTAAATTCTGGAAATAGTCTTGCAAATTTATTCTTATTATTTCAGTCATTATTTTTTTTTAAATTAATATAATATATTTATTATATTGTTTATATATTTTATATGATAAATTAGGTAGAGTTGCCATAGAACAAAAAATTATAATGTTTAAAATTTAAACAATACGATAATATTGAAATATTGAAATAATTAATCTAACTTTTAAAATCTGAACTAAAATACATTATTTCATTAATTCGATTTGTCTACATTTATTTATAATTGCTAATAAATAATATAGATATTGTAGATGATCTCCGTTAGATGTTATAAATAGGTCTACAACAACTATAATTTTTTTGTAGTCAGTAAATTAATTTTAACTTTCTGGCCTGGGGTATTTATTTATACAATTTTATAATTTAAAAAAAATATGTAAAAAATATATTCATATAAAATATGTTTTATTTTTTTAATATTATGTAGTGAATAATTAGTTATAAGTATTATTTATTAATGAAGTTCACAATATTTCAATAATTTAAAATTCTAAATTGAATAATGAATTTATTGATTTTACAATGATGTGTAACATTTGTTTTTTTTTGTGTGTCCGTCATTATATTTATAAAAAAATGCTTAAATTTTCAACTTTTAGAAAAATTAATCTAATTATGATTTTCAAAAATCAAAAGTAAATATTACCAGTACTTTT